ATTTAATAAGTAACATAAATTTACCGATTCAGAACATTTTGTTTTCCTGTTCATATCTATTCACACCAGCTATGTATTTATTTCTAACGTTAATATTGCATATAGTTGATATTGCAAAAGCTGTTTTTTATATTAATAGTGAACTTAATTTTTATATTAGTAGTGAACTTATCTACAGGTACATTAAATCAGAAGCTCTTAAAGCTCTTATTCTGCCCTTTTTACTGCTGTATTCATATCATCAATAAAAGGGCCTGTGATGATAGGCAGTAGCCACTCAACAAGTTTCTTGACATAACCATAGGAAATAATGTATATGGTGTTCGCTTTGATAGTTCAGGGCAAGAAAAGTGGAAGGAAATGTAAGGAAATAATTTGTTGTAAACTTTTTTGGTGAGAGAAATAAGAATTATGATAACTCACTCTGTAAAAATAGTGAATGAATAGGACACAGACTCTCTTCTCTTACAACTCACAGCCCAACCAGTAGAGGATGCAAATATTGGAAAAATAAAATGTGACAGGGTTTTTACACTGGCATAAACAAAATGTAACTGCGAGGTCTCCACAAAACAATCAAAATTTAGTTCACCTGAGAAAGGTTAAAGAGCTGAGAAAGATAAATGTCATGGGTGTTGAAAATGAAAAATCTTTAAGATGTGGTGAATGGAATATCACAAAGGGAGCAGCGTTTCAGAGGAAAACAGCACAGCTTGTACCCTATGATCTGGAAGAGATCTAAAAGGAAGAGGTAGACAAAGACAGGAAAGGTGCCACGGAGGACCTTTTGACCTTACTGCACCTCACCAGCTTTCCGTTTGCTGGGATGCAAACCCTAACACCCACAACGTAAACGGAGGAGAGGCTTAATTTGGCACAGGATTCAGGGAATTCAGTCTCCAATGTGGAAGCACCGTGACAGGAAGGGGTGGCTGAACAAAGCTTCCCAGTTCCTGGCAACAGGGAAGAGGAGTAGGAGAATATTGCCCGAGGAGAAGAGGGAGGGACCAGATATAGACCTCAAATTCATGCCTTGCAGACCCATCCAGACACACCCAATGGATGTGTGCTCCATCCATTTCCTGGGTTGATTCCCAAGCCAGTCAAATGGAAACTCCACTTTGAGGATCACAGAATCTTCTACACAATTGCAATTTTCTAAACATGTGTGAACTTAAAAAATGGTTGTCCTAGGTGTTCCTGAAGAAAGGAAATTTAACAAATGAAGTTTGGAATAAGGGTGAGAATAAAAGAAAGATCTTAAGCAACTTTGCAAAGAGAGCTCAATGCCTCTGAACGATCTGTCACAAAATAACAGAGCTATGTATAAAAAATACCTTTTTTCCCCTTCCACAAAACACAAACACGACACATATATGACAAAAAAGTGGTTAAAAAAGCTAGCCAGACAAAGTGGTGTAAACTCTAATCTCAGCACTTTGGGATGCTGAGACATAAGTTTATGACTAGTTTGGGCAAATTACAGTGACCCTTTCTCAAAAATTAAAAATAGGAAGGAAGGAAGGAAGGAAAGAGGGAGGGAGGGAGAGAAAGAGACAGAGAGAGAGAGACAGAGAGAGAGAAGGAAAGAAAGAGAAAGAAAGAAAGAAAGAAAGAAAGAAAGAAAGAAAGAAAGAAAGAAAAAGAGAAAGAAAGAAAGGAAGGAAGGAAGGAAAGAGGGAGGGAGGGAGGGAGAGACAGAGAGAGAGACAGAGAGAGAGAGAGAAGGAAAGAAAGAGAAAGAAAGAAAGAAAGAAAGAAAAAGAAAGAAAGAAAGAAAGAAAGAGAAAGAAAAAAAGAAAGAAAGGAAGGAAGAAAGGACGGAAGAAAGGAAGGAAGGAAGGAAAGGAGAGAGACTGAGAATGTAGCTCAAAGCAAAGGCTCTGAGTTCAATCTCTAGTGCTGAAGAATGAGAACAACTAGTTGTAGGCCCCTGTGGCTCTTGAAATTCCATTTTATTACATGTGTTATTCTTTAATATCTCAAGAATAAAGATTATAAAGATACATGTCTTACAGTTGTTCCTTCTAACTGACCTTTGCACTGCAAATGTAGAAACTATTACTAAAGTGAATTGATTAAGGCAGGCAGAAGGTAGAAAGGCAGGGTAGAAAGGAGGGAGAGAAAGAGAGAAAGGAAGAAAAGAGTAAACAACAAAACAAGGAAAAAATTAAACAGATTCACATGACAGGAATTCCTGGACATTGCTTTAAGTTTTTCTTGGGAAAAAATAAATATGCATGTTGCCTGCTTTCATTTTCCCAAAGCACAACTTAATTAATGCTGTCGGATCGCTCCTGGTAACAGACTCACACTGTAATAGTCCTCCTACGCCACAAGATCAATGGAACCCTGGAAGCTACCACAGAAAGAAATTAGAATGTGCATCAAATTTGTGCAGCTCAGTTTGTAATGCCTAGAAAAGAACTTGTCATTTAAACTCAGTTATCTGCTGCATTTTATGCTTTCCTTAAACTTACAAATTCAACAACTAAGTTCTCCAAAAGATTATCCTTTTGGTTTTCTAAATCTCAGTTTTTGTTTTCCCTACCATGTTGAATGGTATAAGAGATTTAATAAAAGATAATCATTTAAAACAATATTTTAATGTACTTATTTAAATCTATGTACACTTAGAACATATAATTTTAAATGAAAATACGAGTTTGGGAGTCATGATAGTTAAGTAATTAATTTTATCTCTAAGATCAAAGGACTGAAAACAATTGGAATTTTGTGTTATTTCAAAATAAATACTGTGCATGCAAATTTTTAAAAATTCATATCTCTCAATTTACAGAATAATAAGCACATCAACATATGCTTTCAGAGAGTCCACTTTAGGCACTTACTATTTTCTTTCCTAACGTCGAGTAATTCCAGAATAGAACAATTAGCCGAAAATGTAGTAATGTGTTGTGGAGTTCTATTCTTTTCTTTTGGTTTTTAATATTTTAGAATATTGACAGCAAATAGGTGAAAAAACACAGTTATAAGGTAGTTGTTGCTTATGGTATCTTAAATATAACATTACGTATTCCAATGTTCTTAGATTTGCTAAAATTGTGTTTTCTGGTGAAAATTTTGTAAAAGTACTATGTAATTTTTGTATCTAAAATTGATGATAGTTTCACTAATTTTTCAAAAATGGTGTGATGAGCTTTTTGTACTTATTGACTATAGTAGGATGATAGCATTAGGGTTTCCAAAAATACTTTAGTATTCTGCTGTACTAATAGTAATTGCATTCCACACTGCTTTGTAGAAATCACTACCTGGATTTATAAACCCCAATTTATTACTCGGTGACTAATTTTAGTGAGCTATAACATTTTTAAAAATAGATTTTATGGCTCTGTATCTATATGCTCTGCACAGACTACTCAATTAGTTTTATGTTATCAGTATAATTAAGAAAAAGAAAACTGGTTCATTAATTTCCCTACTACCCAAGATTAAAATTTCTTATTAATCTTTTATTCTAAGTAATGATGCTCAACTTTGAGGCATTTGCTAAAACTATCTTGGTTATATTGAAGGGATACTTTAAGTATTTAGTCTCAGCTACCTGTTTGTATTATTTCTAGCATCTCAACATAGACAAAAAGATGAACTTTTTAATATAAGGGATTACATTTTCTGAAAATCGGTGCTTTTGAGTAATATTTGCTATCAGTTATTTAAAATCTTAAATCAATATTTGTGAGAGCAATGAAATAGTTTTTGAGGTTGAATGGATAAGAAAGATGAAATAACCAAAAGTTGTACAGTTGCATTATTCCATTAACTTGTTACTGCATGAAATGAAGTCAAGCAGAGAATTAACTATTGAGCATTATGTAGTTTCTCTAATATAAGAGATCCAAAATACAAATAATTGAAGAAGCAAAATAAAAAAGCATATTAAAAAAAGGGAGGTAGGCTCTGTGGAGACAAGAAGAATCTGGGAAAGGAGGCTGAGGAAAGGGCAGGGAAGGCAGGGAGAATGAAAATGATTAAGATGCAATATGGGAATAGGTCCATCCTCAAGATGAATGCAATTATGATATGGTGTAAACATATACTAATAAAAATTCTGAAAGCACATAAGCAAAAATTCCTTTCAGGGACATTTTTCCCCACACAGTATCTATCTATCTGTCTATCTATCTAGCTATCTAGCTAGCTAGCTAGCTAGCTAGCTATCTGTCTGTCTGAAACACAGAAAACTACCTCTTAATTATAGGGAATTATTAATAGCTAAATTCTAGGGACATAATAATGCTAATAAATGGTAATATTTTATATTTTCACATTTGCTACCCAAATCTATTCATACTGGGCTTTATTGAATTTGGCTCAAAACTGGACCAGCAATAGGAGTAACCTAAGATAGCTTTTATCTAAAGCTGGATAGGGGAGAATAAATTAGGAATTGGAGTATTATTTCAAGTACTTGAATAGGGTCTTTACATTTTTAGCTCATTTAACCTTCATCCCCACTAAGATGACTACTGTGATCAGGTCCATTTTACTGACTGTAATACTGACAAATAGAGAAAGTGACTATTGCTGTTTACATTGCCCAGAAGCACCACCCACATCCAAATGACCCTTTCTACCAATACTAACTACACATGTACTCTGCCTGCCTAGCCAGAATGTATCTGCTAGAGTTTTAAATACAAATGTAGTAGATACTGAAGTTTTTCTCTTTAGTTTTACAGAAAACCCATCTCTGAAGGGATGACAACCCATAAGAAAAAGAAGTTGGAGGAGATTCTATGCAAGCAAACTTCTGAGTGTTTGAAAATACTTTTTCCACGCTAAAACTTATTGCTATTCGAAAATCCAATCCAGCTTTTCACTTAGTTATTTGCCTTTAAAACTTCGTAGTCATATGCAAGTCATATACAAGGTACGTGAATATGTACCAGTGTTGGTAAAGATTACTGCACATTCTTCTTTCTACTGAAACCACCATGATTATGAAACTGGATCTCATGATCCATCTTTTTTTTTTAAATATGGAATGCTTCGTGGATTTACATGTCATCTTGTGCAGGAACCTTGCTAATCTCTGCATCATTCCAATTTTAGTACAGGTGCTGCCAAAGTGAGCACTTAACTATCCTTTCTCTTGACCACTAGCTCGTTTTCAAAAATTATACTTTAGCTCCCCTAGCAATTGGAAAATTGATGAATAAAATGACTGTGCTAAAATTCTATGCTTAGAGTTAGAATAACCATTTGTGATTTTAAGGATAAAAGAAAATAAAGGTAGTACAGCAGCTCAGAGCAATATCAAGTGATACAAGTATACAAAATAAAACAAACAAACAAACAAACAAAAAACCCCTGCGTGGTCCTAATCAGATATTTTGGAAGCGATGCCAATAAATTTTACTCTGTTAGACTGCATAATGTTTGGATAGGCTGAGTCAGGACTCTGGAGTCTTTAATGATGAGGTTCACAACATCTGACAAGACACTATTTTTCCATGACTTTGTTCACAATAAAAATCAAAAGGTTAATCAAAATAATACACTTTTAACTGGAAAGAGAGGAGGTCAAAATGCTTTGGCTGTAGTTTGGCTGCATATTGAATTTTTTCATGTCAGATATTGATGACTTCTTTTTCAGTTTCAAAAAGGAAACATTCAGAGTGATTATCAACAAAGCATCAAATACCTCGTGGACCATGCAACAGGTGTGAATATAGGAGAGGGGTGCATCATATTTTTAGTTTACCAAGAAAATGCATAGTTGAATAATTATTATAATTGATTTTAAGGGACTTTTAAAATCTAAAATCTATGATTTTTTCCTTTTGTTTTGTTTGATCTAGCTTTTAATTTTACTAGTACATGTTGCGGTGTTTAATGATTATCACATTCACTGTATGGAACTGGCACATGCACATGACTTATTCCACTTCCCTTCTTTTCCCCTCTCCTTCCAACCCTTTTTATTTTTCCAGAATCAGATTCATGTATTTACCTAAGGCCTTATAAAGTTAATTGTCATATATACAGATTGAAAACCAGACTAATAGGCCAAAGAACTTATATATA